AGAACTTGTCTGACTGGTTCTAAGGAGGAACATAAGTAAATAAGACCTGAATAAACAAAAGAGAAACCTGCCCATCACCCGTGGGCAGTAATGTAGGTCACCTTCCTGGGCACTTACAAATCAGTGTTTGTCCCTCAGATACATGTGAAATGTGCTTCCAGAGCATGTTGGTTATTATCACGGTGGCAGCAGAGACTCGGGGAAGGAGCAGAATGAAAGATGCTCTATTGATGGAGACCCGCTGTAGTAGTAAGAAGCTAGGTACCTGAAGGGACTGAGGAGTGCTCAAGCCTTTCTGGCAGAAGCAAGTATTGGCCTCTTTTTCATGAGTGAGGGTCATTTTCATCACCTTGGCATGTTAGACTTTGGCAGCTCGGATGATGAAGCAAGGCTGCACATGCTCGTGAGAACAAATGACTTTCCCATCCTTAATCTCCTTGGTGATGGTGCGGATTTTAACCAGCAGTGGGGGCAGGGCTCTGTAGGCGATGCAGGGCTCGGGTAGCCCACGGGAGTCTGAAGATGAGGTGTGCGCTGGGGCTGTGCCTTTCATGGCTCTGGCCTTACTGCATGTGCAAGCGGAAGGCTGGCATTTGGTGGCACACGGGTTACAGGGAAGCCTAGAAAAAAACAACCAGAATTTTACCTGTGGTTGAGGGAAGGCAGCAATGGCTATGGAGAAAAGGGGTGGTGGTTAATTTTTTAACCCAGGCCACTCAAAACAAGTACTTCCAAATGCTTATTCATTCACTTTGTACTGTCGTTAGTGGAAGAAAAAGGATCAGACCAGGTTCATGGGAAAGCAGCATCCCAGGTTTAAAAGCGTTAGATTGTGTCTGCCGCCATGACAGTCCAAGCCACAGCATATGGAAGATGTAACACCATGCTAGGAGTCAAAGACTGTGGTGGAGTCCAGCTCTGTTATTTACCAACTGGTGACCTTGGATAAGTCGGGCGACCCTCCTGACTTTAGTTTTTCATTTGCAGGATGGACATAATGGGAAATAAACTCACAGGGTCAACTGTGATAAGGAACAAGTTGAGGAGCTTATTATCTGAGGAAAGGAAGTTAAGCAGATATTTTTCTTGTCAGAGAGTTAGTCACAACACAACGGGTGGCCGGAACCCCATCTATGGAAGAGTTCCCAGCACTTCATCAGGAAGCTCCAAAGGGCCTTCTAGGTGTCTACAAATAGTCTTTAGAGAATTGAAGCTGAAAGCATTTAATAGTAAGAACTCTTTCATTGATGATTCAAGGCCCTTTGGTATATTGTAGCTCCTCCAAGTGGTAGCATGGGTTACCATTGTGTTAGAATAATGTGAACAAGTCAGCGAAAAGAATGCTATGACCAGAGTTCACTGATTATTTGCGGGAGGGAGGTCTCCTTAGCAATTGTAACTCAGTTTGTCTTTGGAGTGTTAGTTTGGACTGGGTTGCATCAAATAACCCATGTTCTAGGTCAGTTCCTTACGGGTTGGTTAGCTAATCATTTAAAAACATTATAACTTCTATTTTAAAAAAACGCTTAAACACGCCTATGTATAGGATGCTGTTGGCATCCAGGACAAGTGGTTGGACAGGGTTAGGGGTTTCAGCCTGAGCAGAATGTCCCTCCCAAGGGGGCAGTGTTGTCCTGGTCAGTCTCACAAAATTCAGATGTCCATCTCAGTGGGGAAACCTGTAGGTCGCCGGGAATGTTCCTCTTTGGGGAAACCATTTTTTTTAAACTTTATTGGGGTACAGTGTGTTTTTCTAGGACCCATCAGCTCCAAGTCAAGTAGTTGTATTCAGTCTAGTTGTGGAGGGCACAGCTCACTGGCCCATGTGGGAATCAAACCAGCAACCTTGGTGTTAGGAGCCCATGCTCTAACCACCTTAGCCAACTGGCTGCCCCAGGGGAAACCATTTTTATCCCTAGTAATTTTTAAAACTCTAAGAAGCTGAAAAACCTATCAGGAACTAATCTGGTGCACTGGCCCTTCAAAGCAACTGAGTTCAGCTGGACGAGGTTATGGTTGTAGGTCTCCAAATGGCACAGCTTGAGAGAGCGTACAGACCCTTCCATCCAAAGCTCTCATCACTGGTAAGATCAAAGCACTTGTTCCCTGGCTGCCAATGGTCGTACAATACATGTGTGTGCGCCTCTTTCTCATAGAGCTGTTCTCATTTTACGTACTTGCCATCTGAGCTCTCCAGCAGGCTGCGGTATGTGGCAATTTCACACTCCAGCCGGGACTTGACGTCCAGCAGAATCTCGTATTCTTGGTTCTGCCTTTCCAGAGCACATCGGATCTCTGCCAGCTGAGCCTCTAGGTTATCGATCAGACACTGGATCTGGGCCACCAGGGCTGTGTAGCGGGCCTCTGTCTCTGTCAGCATGCATTCCTGGGAGTCCCTCTACCGTGGAGGAGGAAAATAGGATTCATTAATATAATGATGGCTCCTTTAAGCCCAGGTCACCTGTGATCTGTATCTTTGGGACAGGTACTGATGAATTTCCAAGCCCTCTTATTACCTCCTCACCGAGTGAATCCCAAATCAAAATTACCAACTATTCTAAAGCTTGCTTCCCTTTATCCTCTATTTTTTGCCTCCCTTTAAGTGCTTACTTGTCTTCCTCTTTGTTAATCACTTGATAAGCTTCTACCACACTTTCCTACCTATGAGAGAAAAAAAATATTCACAACTAGGCATGACCCATTACCAGGCACCTCGTGAGAGTTTGTACCTTTAAGAGGAAGTGAGCAACATTTAGCTATGAATAATTCCTTCACTTTATACATAAAATATGAGAGTTGAAACTTTGATGATTAAAGTTCTTTCCTGCTCTATCATTCTGTAAGTTTATAGATAATGGAATTTTAGGTTTCGATAACCCGTTATTTGCATGATAATCCCAATTCTTATAGACAAGAAAACTGAGGTTCAGAAGGTTTAATGGGCTGCCCACAGTCACATGAGTAGCTGGTGACAAACTCTTCAGAGGAACAGTACAATGAGGCGGAATCGATTCTAGCTCTGGAACCTGAGTTCTGGCTCAGACTCATTTCTTTTGTGACTTAATGCCTTAGGACCTCAGTGCCTCCGTTTCTAAAACAGGTGAGTTGAAACTTATCTTGGATTTGGCTTGGGAAAAAAATCACCTTAGCTCTCTGTGCCTCCTCTGTAAAATTGGCTTAATAATGATGCCACCTCCCTCAGAAGACCATTTTATAAATTTGATAGTTTGTAAAAATGTTCGCATAAAATAAAATGCTCTTTTAGTGTTTCCGAAGTGTACTCCATGGATCATTATTGCCAGGAGGTATTTTTTAAAAAAGGAATCTACAGTCAAGTGAGTTTTGGAATGCTGAATACCATATACTCCCTTCTTGGAGACTCATGGTGTATATCAGCTTATGAAAGGGCCACAGGAAGGTTCCCTGTTTCACCTTGGTTTAATTCAGCATTTCCCAGGCTTATTGACTACAGAATCCTTTTTTGGCCATAGACCCTTTAACAAACAGAGGAGCGCAGTTTGGGAATCACTGCAACCCACAAGTGTCAGGGCCTTTTGCCAGCACGGGTGTGCTAGGCTTGGTCAGTTTGCTGGGTACCATGCGGTGCTGGGCCTGTCGTTCAACCTCCAGAGCATTCATGGCTCGTCTCAGCTCGATGATCTCCGTCTGGCAGCACTGCTGCTGTTGAGAGCTGGTCACCACCTGCTGGTTCAGCTCCTCCATCTGAAACACAGTCAAGGGCCATGGATATTAGGAAGGAAAATGTAGCTTTGATTGAAGGGCCCCGGGAAAGGCAATGTCGGCTTTGGTAGTTGTGACGTTTTCCACCCTGCCCACCTGCATGTTGAACCATTGTTCCACATCTCCACGGTTTGTCTCCATGATGGACTCATAGTGACATCTCATTTCTTGTAGAACCCGGTTTAGGTCCACAGAAGGGGCAGCAGTCACTTCAATGTTGAGTCTGTCTCCAAGCTGGCTCTGTAAGCAATTGATTTCCTATGGAAGGAAAAAGAGGGCGAAGTCACTTGGTGAACAGGTGACCTTCTTGTGTTCTTGTTTCCGTCTAGCCAATAATTTAGCTTAATTGCATCTGAAATATAGCCCACAATAAAGGGATATGTGATTCATAGGTGCTATTCAGATGCTTTAAAATGACTTAAGGCTATTTCAGGTATGTATTCAAATATATGCATCATTAAAAGGAATTTACTAGCAAGATCAGAGATTTAAAGAATTTAGATCACTTCCAAAGATGGGTAATGGGTGAAGCAGCATAGAGGTGGAGTTTATGAGCAGCCTTGGTCTCTATGACACCAATACGGGCTTATGCCAAGATTGACGTCTACCAATAGGGGCAGAAGTCTGTGTAGGGACGCCTACAAAAAGATGGGGAACCAGTGAGGACAATAACATTGGGTAAAATTTTACGCTCTCCTGGAAAAGCCGGAGAGGACGATGGAGGCTTCAGATACTGTATTACAGGCAATGGGTTCGAAACACATTGAACCAGTGGTAGTAGCAGTAGGTATTATCGGGGCCAAAAAACAAACCAAAAACACAACAGAGTAGTATCCAGTAGGGACACCTTTTGTCAAGTCCAACTCAAAGGAATTGATGTTACTTGTAGTGACTCGTGGACTTTTTCTAACCTCTTCATGGCTGTTTCTGAGGCAAAGGAGCTCCTCCTTGAGAGACTGGACTCGTGCCTCCAGGTCCGCTTTGCCCAGGGTCAGTGCATTCAGGATCTGCTGTAGGCCGTTGACATCTGCCTCCACTAGCCGGCGCAGGGACATCTCAGCTTCATACCTTTCAAAATGAGACATGAAATGAAAGACGTTAAAATACAGACGGTAGAAATCAAGCCAAGCAGAACTCCCCTCTGCATTTTCCTCTGGGCTTCTCATTTCTCTGGTGGGTTTTATTCTCTTTAGAGGTGAAACTGTTTAATAAATATCACCATTTACTTATTATTCCTATATTAGTTTGCCTGAGTGACGCTATTGGGTTGTCGGAAAAGTCACGACGTATTTTTTTTCTGTTTTTCGTTGCAAAAACGCGTCGTGACTTTTCCAACAACCCGATACGCTGCTGCTCTTGAGATGACGGAGTTTATCCTCCTTCCTCTGCCCCTAGAGGCGATGCCGTGTAAGTGCAAAGAGCATTGGATTAGGATTTAGAAAGCTTGCATCCAAGTTTCGGCTCTGTCTTGTACCAGTTGTATGCCTTTGCATAAGTAACTGAACCTCATTAAACCACAGTTTTCTCACCTGAAATGGGGTAACAGTATATTTGCCCTGCCTATTTTACTGAACTGTTGGGCGGGTAATCAGATGGGTTTATATGTTAGTAACTACAGGTACTGTATACACGTGAGCGGTTATTAATCTTAATCCTTTATTGAATTTGAGGGTCTTTTTTGGGTTAGTGCCAACATGGTATGGGGGGGCAGGGGGTTCGTGGACTTGGGGACAATCATATTGAGAGTGGTTAGCATCAGATGCCGGGTGAATTCTGTCATGAACGACAGTGTTGGGGGCCTTACTTGACTCTCAAGTCATCAGCAGCCAGTTTGGTGTTGTCAATTTGTGAGACCAGTCTGGAATTCTCAGCCTTGGTACACAAGATCTAGAATTAAGAAGTTGGAGACACTAATGAGACAAACACCAAGCTCCTTCCTCAAAAACCAAGGGGCTGGTGTGTGTTTTAGTTAACAATGGAAGGCTAGTTAGGCATTTTCTTTCTTTCTTTCTTTCTTTCTCTCTCTCTTTCTTTCTTTCTTTCTTTCTTTCTTTCTTTCTTTCAGTTAAAATTTATTGGGGTGACAATGGTCAACAAAACTACACAGGTTTCGGGGGTACAACTGTATAACACATCATCTGTATATTGTATTATGTGTTCACTACCCAGAGTCAGTTCTCCTTCCATCACCATATATTTGACCCCCTTTACCCTCTTCTACCACCCTCCTCCCCCTTATCCTCTGGTAACCACTAAACTGTTGTCTGTGTCTATGAGTTTTTGTTTGTTTTGTTTGTTTGTCTTGTTCCTTTTTTTTGCCTTCAGTTTTATATCCCACATGTGAGTGAACTCATGATTGGATAAAGAAGATATATATATATATATATATATATATATATATATATATACACACACACACACACACACACACACACACACACACACACACATATATATACAATGGACTACTACTGTGCCATAAGAAAAAATGAAATACTGCCATTTGCAACAACATGGATGGATCTTGAGATTATTATGCTAAGTGGAATAAGTCAGATGGTTAGGCTTTTCATAGCTATGCTTAGGAAGCCTGGGAAACATTGGAAAGTCAGTTTTTGTTATTGTCCTAAAAGTTCAGCAAAAATTATATCAATAAAAACTTTTGTAGATGTTTTACCATTAGACTATAAAACCCATGCTATATTTGCATAACATATCATGATCCACTACAGGGGCCGGCAAACTGAGGCTCGCAAGCCACGTGCGGCTCTTTGGATATGTTCCGTCTCAAAAGTTTGCCGACCCCTGGAAGAGCCAATCCTGTCCCTCACAACAATTTAAAAATTATTCAAGAGAGCCATAATATATTTGTACATAATCACCACTATGTGAATAATATCCTTTAAAAGATTTTTAAATAAAACTATGATAGTTTTATTTACATTTTCAATTTTACTTCAGAGCCACACGCCTGCGAGCCGCAGTTTGCTGACCCCTGGCGGCTCTTCTGTCTCAAAAGTTTGCAGACCCCTGGGTTAGAATGTAAATGCCATGAGGGCAGGGACTTTTTTAGTTCACCACTATGTTCTCAGAGCCTAGAATAATGTCTGGTGCAGTGTTTTTGGTGCTCAGTAAATATTTGTTGAACAACTAAAACAGAATAAATCCAACACGTGTAGCAGCAGCATATCACTCTGGGTGGGAAACTTAGGTTTGGTGTGGGAAGAAACTATGTCAACAATTCGGAGATGATGAAATGAGCATAAGAGGGAAAAAGTGGTGATGGTCGCAAACGTGGATTAAAAATTAAACTATTTAGGAACTTATTAAGACAAAATTAATTTTCTCAGATCCCTGTTTTCTTATTTTTGTTAAAGGAATGACAGAAAGGGGGTGTTAATGTGTTCTGGTCCTGGGATTTTGGTTACAATAATAGCAGAGTATATCTCTGGAAAACGAAAAACTATAAAAACTCTGCATATTGCATGAAGATGACAGTTTCATTCAAGAGATTTTCTTATTTGAAAAAATAGTTTTTCAGCATAAAAGGAACTAAAAATATTAAAGTTTAGCAAATGGCTATTGCTTAGAGAACATAAGTTCACAATGATTATACAGATTCCTAAGAATCTTACCTTCTGCTGGAGCTCCTCAATGGTAGCAAAGTAGGACAGGTAATCTGGACATACGACAGGGAGGTCTTTGTTACACTCTTCCTGGATTTTACACTCCAGTTCCGTGTTCTCTCGTTCCAGCATCCGCACCTTTTCCAGGTAGCTAGCAAGGCGGTCATTCAAGATTTGCATGGTCAATTTCTCGTTACTGTTGATGCCTTCACCACACCAGCCACTGTCCAGAGAGGGACAGGCGTTGAAGTTGTGTATCAAGCAGATGGGCATAGGACAAAAGCAAAGAGTGGGTTGGCAGCTCTGGGACTGGAGAGTTCTCAGAACATGGCCAGTTGATTGGCAGCTGTTGGCTTCAAGACCACCATGTTGGCAGCTGGTGTTAGAAGAGATGATCCTAAAATTTGTAATCCTAGAGCAGCTTTGGCATGGCGTTGAAGAAGAAGTAGTTGTTGTATGGCCCTTGGTATCCATAGTGTGCCCAGCTTTGGTTTATTTTAAAGTCTGTGGTTCCCCTGATCCAAAGCTCATGCTACTGAGTCTAAATTCCAAGGCTTCTGTGGCGTTTTCCTCTCTGAAGTGCTTATATAGCCTTTCCTCTAGGTGGTGTCAGAGCAAGCAGGATGTTTTCCTTTCTAATGTTTATATCAAATCCCATCTGAACATCTCATTAGTCTGCTTTTTACTTGCCTGAGCAGAGTTACCTGTGTCATAAAAATGTGCATTTAGGCTGTTACTAAGTTATTACCCATCACAACTACTACTTGTCCTTGGATTCAGAGCTTCACATTATGTCTTCAAAAGGAACTGTCGTCACAGTTCTAACAGCATCCATTATTAAGTAGGTGTGAGTATACTGAGTTCATTAAGTCCTTGTTGACCTCTTCATTAAGCTTGGCCAGGATGAGTCCATTTGTTTTTTCCTTTCTTCTCTAGAAAAGGGAAACTATTAATATCTAATAATTATTGGTGTGAACTTGGAAGTCAGTATTTTATTTTGTTCTACCTGATTGATTTCCCCCCCTTTTTTTTTTTTGGTTGGTGGTGTCCTGCCCAATAGTTTTCCCATTTTCATTGTGAGTCTGGATTACAATGTCAGTCTTAAATAAGGCTCTTTTTAAGGTAATTGCTGAATTCTTAATTTAGCTTTCCAGGCAGGGTTTGATTACTAACAAGAAAGTTCTTAAAGAGGCAAGTTAGCCGGCCAAGTGGCTCAGTTGGTTAAGAGCTCGCTCAAGAGTGTGAGCTCTGAGCAAGAGTAGTCGCCGGTTTGATTCCCAGCCCGAGCTGAGCTGCCAACAGGTGGCAGGATGGCTCAGCTAAAAAAAAAAAAAAAAAAAAAAAAAAAGAGGCAAGTTACCTTTTGGGTTTTCCAAAGCCCGCATTTAATAACATGTTTAGTGCTCAGTGTTTGCATGTGGTATTACATTAGCTAAAACTTTGTGATGGTGTTGGTTTATATTTGCTGTTTAAATATGACCTGTTGAAAGGTATGTGTGCTCTTTTCAGGAATACTTACTCAGCGTTTTCTTAAGAAAGTTGTTTGTTCTTGATCCTTTCTGGGGGCTCTAGGAGAGAATACTTTCCTTGCCTCTTTCAGCTTCTAAAGGCTGCCCGAATTCCTTGGCTCATGGCCCTCTTCCATCTTCAAAGCGAGCAATGGCCAGTCAAGTCTTTCTCACATGCGTCACTCTGACACTGACTCTTCTGCTTCCCTCCTCCACATTTAAGGTCCCTTGTGAGTGTATTGGTCCCACTTATATCACCTAGGATAATCCTCCTATTTTAAAGTCAGCTGATTAGCAACCTTATTTCCCCTTTGCCATGTAGCCTAACATATTAAAAGATTCTGGGATTAGGACATGAGTATTTTGGGGAACCCATTGTTATTTATGTCACGCTATGTAAAGAAAAAAACCCATAACTTACAATAGCACCAACAAATGTAAAATATGAAGGAATAAATTTAGGAATAAATATAATTTAATTCAAGATGGATTAAAAGCACTCCAGTGCTAAGGTTACATGTATAGAGTTCTTAGAAGAAAACAAGGATAACTATCTTCATAATCTTGGGCTTAAGTGAAGATTACTAGTGCATGGAGAACACTGATCATAAAAAAATTGATTAGACTTCATTATAATTAAAATCTTTTGCTGATCAAGATATACCACTAGGAAAGCGAAAAGGCAAGCCACATGCTGGGTGAAAATATTCTCAATTTATCTGACAAAGGACATCCCCTGTGACCCAGCAATCACAAAAACCTTTATGCTATATATAGCTTATTTGTTCTCCATCTCTATAATTTTGTCATTTCAAGAATGTCATGTAAATAGAATCATATAGTATATGACCCTTCAAGATTGCCTGTTTTCACTCAGCATAATGGCCTTGAGATCTTGAAGACATTTTTGTTGTTTCCAGTTTTTGGCTATTACAAAAAAAGCCACTATAAATAATCGTGTATTTTTTTGTTTTCAAAGCCTGTACTTTCAACCTACCTATATCATTATATTTGAAATAAGCTTTTTGTAGAAAGCATATAGTTGGGTCATGATTTTTTATTCACTCTGTCCTTTAATTGGAGTGTTTAGATGATTTCCTGTTGTTGTCATTACTGATACAGTAGGGCTCAAGTTGCCATTTTATTTTTTGTTGTTTTCTGTTTGCTCCCCCTGTTTTTTAATTTCTCTGTTTTCTTTTTCCTGCCTTTCTGTGGCTTACGTGAATATGTTTTACAATTCCACTTTGATTCATCTGTAGCATTTTAAAGGATTTCTTTGCATAGCTTTTTAAGTAGCTGCTGTAGGTATTACCTTACATATACACAACTAATCATAGTCTATTAGTACTGACATTTCATCACCTCAAGTGATGTGTAGAAACCTTATCTCCCTTTATCTCCCTGTACTCTCTCCTTCTTGGATCTTTTCGTTTGTCCTGTCTGCACCTGCTGGTGTTTCTGGGTTGTTGGTTTCTCCAGCTCCCAATATGAGAACCAGGAGACAAAAAGAAAGCCTGAGGAACTCATGGCCATGTTTTTTCTTGGATACCAAGGACTCTAGTTGGTTTGGCTTCTTCTCCCCCTTTTCAAAGTCTTCTTATATTTGTCTTATATGTAATTTCCAGGATTTTGAGTCATACTTAGGAAGAGAAATGGGGAGATGTATCTCTACTTCATCTTTCTGGAAGTGGAAATTCTCCACTTTGCTTTTTAAATGTGTGAGAATAATTATTCTTGTATCCTAAATGTCCAATAGCAGACCAATGTACCATACGTATTTTATGCAGCCACCAAAATAATGGTCACAAGACAATCTTATATGGTTATTAGTATTGAAAATGCTTGGATGACATAGTGAAAAAATAGGTTACACAACTATATGCATATGTAACTATGATTACCACTATATGGAAAAACCTATTATAAGAAACACAACTGGAAGTTCCTAAAATACTAACAATGGATGTTGAGGGTATGGAATTATAAATGCTTTTCCCTCCCTTCATGTGCCAAATAGGAAAAACAAAGGAATCTAGTACTTTTATAATTAAAAATAAAATAAAATACAACTTTTTATAATTAAAAATAAAATAAAATACAATTTATCATATTTTATTTCTAAGTTTTCTTTCAAAAAGATACATACAAACTATCTTCCATGATATTGACATTTTGCATGGATTAATCTATTTGTATTTGAGGGTTAAAAAATATTTTCAGCCTGGGTTTATGCAAAATCAAACTATCGGCATGGGTTTAAATAATTACCTTGGCATCGTATGGTTATTATATCAACAGTAATAAGCCACAGAGCTGTATTTATCATGCTCCAGGAATGAAACACATTTTATTTGGAGATCAGCAAGAAAGTTTTACAGATTTCTAGACTATCACAAATAAGCAGGCAGAAGAGGAAATGATAAAGCAGAAATATATCAAGGACAATTTTAGGATATGAAAGCCTTTTTGACTTGAGTTTCAAGTTTCAAGTTTGGATGCCCCTGAGAGAAGCTCCCTCTCCATTTTTGGACACTGATGGCTTCGATCCCGCCATCCACTGTGCTGGTAGCACTCATGCACAGCAGTTTTCCACTGTGCAAAGTACATACGCCGAGCACGGCTCGCAAGTATTGCTTGACACACTCGTTGTAGAACACGGGTTACAGGGAAGCCTGTGGAAAATCCATTTTGAACAAGGGAAAGCTGGATAAAATGTCACCTCAGAAAAAATCATGCCAAAGATTACCCTGCAAATTATGCTCTGAAGGACAGTCTTTGTAGAATAACATTTGACCTAAGCCTGTTTCATCCCCAGACCCAGCATTGTCAGTTCACGTTCCCTGCAGCAGTGGCAGCTGAATAAAATTTTATGTATTTTCTTCACCTTGCAAATAACCATCTTAGGCATGTTCCCGATTTCCCTTTAATGGGAGACAGGAGCAAAGGGAGACCAACCGCCCCCCATGTGAAATGTTGTATATGATACTTATTCTGCTTCAGAACTTTGGAATATTTTTGAACATTTCTGTTGTCATGTGTTTAGCCTCAACGTCTTTTCGTTACTCTTTATAGAAGCTCTTTTAACACCTTAAGGAGGTTTGACCTTGGCCAGATCTTGGGCAAACAGGCTTCTATTCCACAAGCCTCTTTGTGACTTGGGCTGATTTTGAGACTAATGGTGTGGTACTTGCCTGCTGTCCTCGCTCTCCAGCAGGCCCCGGTATGTGGTGATCTCGCCCTCCAGCCGGGCCTTTGTGTCCAGCAGCACCTGGTACTCCTGGTTCTGTCGCTCCAGGTCACAGCGGATCTCGGCCAGCTGGGTCTCCACGTTGTCGATCAGGCACTGCATCTGGGCCAGCTGGGAGCTGTACTGGGCCTCAGTTTCTGCCACGGTGCACTCCAGAGATTCTGTCTGCAGAAAGAGCACCAAAAGGGCTGTGCAGCATTGTCTCCGGGCCAGATGGCCTGTTTCCCAAACCTCCATCTACCCATTTCCAGCTCTGTGACTTTGGGGAAATTACTTAGCTTCTCTGAGCCTTGGTTTTATTCTGTAAAAAGTGGGCATGGCAGAGTAACTATCCTGTAGGATGGTTGTAAGGAGGAAGTGAGTTAATATGTGTAAAGCACTTAGCACAGTACCTGTAGAAGCTTTAAGGGCCATGTAAGTGTTGGTTATTACTACCACCACTAGGACCATCCCAACTTAACTTGTGTGGCTTAGGGAGGACCAACAGCATTTAGAGGAAGCGTTGAGTGTGGGCTTGGGGCAGGATGGTGTGGTAGAGTGTGGCTAAGAGAAAAGGCTCTGGACCTGAACCACCGGGAATTCAGCATCCACTTTTGCTTCTTGAAAATTGCATCACCCCTTGTTACCTATCCGAGTCTCAGTTTTCTTCATCTGTATAATGAGGTTAGATTAGTAAAGGGGTTTACCCCATAACGTTATTGTGAGGCTTAAATTGTGCC